TCTGAGCACACAGACTGTGATGGAGTTCCTGGGGGCCCACAAGGTATGTGGGAGTGGGTGATGGCCGCACCTCCGTTCACCAAGCAGGTGTGCGGATAAGAGTAATAAGAGGAATGTTGTCTCTTTTCAGTCTTGCAGGTCCAGAGTTACCTTGGGGTTGCTGGAAAGCAGAACGTGTTCTTAAGCCCCAGGAATCTGCGAGTGCGCTGTCTCCTTAAATATCCAAAACAGTCAAGCCGCTTTTAAACCTTAAAAATGGTGGTGCCCTCCGGACCAGCAAAAGTCCTCAGCTCAGCCCGCCTTTCTTTTCACCTTCTCTGTTTATTCCCCAGCCACCAGAGCAGTTCTCTGTGCAGTCCCTGGCTAGCAGGGCTGAATTTTAGGTTAATTCTTAGGTCCTACCACCACTCGGGAATCTCCAAGCTGTCTGTGCCGTCAGGATCGCTGCCAGACCACAGCTCTGTATGTCTCCTTTTGTGGTATTTTCACGCAAATTCTTCTGCTGGTTGGGGTTTAGTCCACTTCTATATCCTCCCCTTCAAGGCTCAGGGGTCCAAGATTATCTTCTATGTCTGTATTAATTGGTTTCCCTTTTCTTTGTTGAAGAGGGTCTGTACAGTCTTTCTGCCTAGTCCGCCATCTTGCCGGAACTCCAGAGTATTTCTTCTTCAGGCTCAGCATATCACTGTCCATCTTTTTCATTCATTGTGATTTTTTACTTCTAGTCAAAGAGACCCAGAAGCCAACCTGGAGGTGATCCCTGGAGAAAGCTGGAATCATGCTGGCCATGTGTTTATTGAAGAAGTCAACTCAGTTCTTGGAAACCCCACTATCAATGCAGATGAGGAAACTGAGGGTCCTCAAATCTGCCGTGTATGTGGAGACAAGGCTACTGGTTATCACTTCAATGTCATGACATGTGAAGGATGCAAGGGCTTTTTCAGGTAGAGTTACCTGTCAACTCTTACCCACCTGCCACCACCAACCCACTGGGTCACATTAAATGGGACTTCTGCCTTTAACCCACTTGGCAACATCTCAGAGCCTAGGCTTGATTGGCCTCCAGGTTCCACTAATGGTCTCCTGACTAGTCTCAAGCAAGTCATTTACATTCCTGACAGGGGATATCTGTCTTTCTGCTTTACATATTCTTCCCTTAAGATACTCCTTTGTTTCCTCACTTGTTCTTCAATAAAATAGAATGTCAGTCAGTATAAGATGAAAGAATTTGAAAATCCAAAATACGAGTGTTTATATCAGTCATATGGGGAGGTTGTTAACTAACAAATAACAAAATGAATGAAGGATATGACAAAACATGCTCCCCCTGAAACAGATAAACAGGGAGGACAAAAAAATTAAGGATCCAAGGTCCTATGTCATAGCAAGGCAGACCCGAAAAGAAAGGCTTATGTTATCCAGCTGAAGAAACAGAAAGAGCAAAGCCAGCTCAGTAAGGCCAGCTCCCAGCTCAGGGCTCGGCATAGAAGATGGAGAAGCAGACCAAGAAAGGAGGGGAAGGGAGAAAAGAATGTGTGAAGAGGAGCTCCGGGTCTTCCCCCAGGAAGGAATGGGGTACGTGAGGAGCAGCTCCCACCTCAGGGACCACAAATGGGGCCTTGATGCGTTCTCAAGGTAGACAGCCTGACTTGGTCCTTTTCAGAGTTCTTCTTGATCATCTGAACAGGAATGAGTGCTAGAACCAAGGCGCCATCCTTCAGTCCCAAAGATGGGTGGGTGCCTGTTAAGATGCCATGTGTGGAGGTCCAGCTGTTTGTTTCCAGAACCCACGGGAGGACTTCCAGGCCTGTATGAGTCCAGGGAGGCAGTGCAGCAGCCTCTGTGTTAGGGCCAGTCCAGGGTAACCACAGTCAGCTTTGGGGCTGACATGGTCACATCTGAATGGGTCTCAGACCCCATAGGATTATCTACCAAGGACAGATCCAAAGGTGCCCATGTTCCAAGAACAAATGAACATTGGAACATTCCTGTTGTATGAGTTATAACAGAGCTAACACAGCAGTGTTGTAAGGCTGTATTCAGCTACGAGTAACATAGTGGTTTAAATAATTGGAAAATATGTTACTTCTCACAATGAGAAGTCTGAAGACTTCAGGGTTGGTGAGGTCATCAGCTCAGTGCTTTTTCTCTTTTGTAATCCTACCTAAGAACTTTGATTTCAGTCTAGCTCCCCTTGGGGCTAAGATGGCAGCCCACTGCCAGGGGCCTTAGGCAGTTACCACACTACTCAGCTGAAGAAGAAAAAGGTCCATCTCTTCCTCTGAAAACAAGGAAACTTTTTCCAAGATCCCCAAGACATCATCCTCATAACTGGATCCTTAGCACTCTCCTGAACTAATCACTGACCAGGAGCCCCAGATTAAGCCCTGAGCTGAGTGTCTGAGGTCAATATGGTCAGATGGAGGAGAGTAGACATCTGAACTGAATCTGTTCTGCAGAAATTGGCTGCCTAGAGCTTCTCTCCAAGCAGCATCTATGCAGATGACCTTGGGGTACAGGAATCCTTTATTTCCCCTCCTCATTCAGGTATATTCCTGGGACTGCCAAAAGGAGGGAACAGATTGCAGTGGCAAGAGGTTAGATTTGAGTATCACACAGACCTGGATTCAGATTTCAGCTTGTCATTCACCTGGAGAGCATGTGGTGATCCAGTCTCTCCAAGCCTCAGTTCCCTCATTTGTGCCAGGCCACTAACTGTGATGAATTCGTAGGGTTGTTAGAACTATATTTGGAAAGCTCTGCAAAATAAGCTAGCCCAGTATCTGAGACGCAGCATGACCTTCACAACTCCTTTTTCCTTTCATCCACTCTCAATGGACTCCAGAGTAGTATCAAAGTCAGTAGTGGTATTAGACACGGGGAGAATGCCTGGGAGAAACACACACCCTAGGCTAGTTACTGGTTACAGGCCTCTGGCCACTGAGCTCAAACCTGCCCCTCAACTCAAGCAAAGCTCAGCTTTCCCAGTTCAGCCCCTGCTGCTATGAGGCCACGCTGGTCTATTTCCATGTTCCATGCCAGCCTTCCTTCATTTTTCATACAAAATCAGAGGCCAAAGCCAAGGAACAATTTGTTTTCTTCTACCCACCTGTGAAAATGAGGAGAAATAAAAAGTTAGGGCCCCAGTGACTGGGTCTTTTATGAGAATGGGGCACCTAGGCTGTGGAGAGGGGAGGGGAGGGAGATGGCTGTGCTAGGCCTCTAAGACATCCACCTCATCACCTCCCTGTCTGCCACATGGTGTCAGGTCTGTGGACCTGGTGCCTGTACCCTCCACTCTTCCAGGCTCTGAATGAACCTCTTTGCCTCTCTAGATCAATCAGGAGAACCCACTTTTTTTTTTTTGTAATTTGGGTGAAGATTTACAGAGCAAATTCATTTTCCATACAGCAGTTCACATATACTTTCTCGCATGCCATTGACCACAGTTTACCACAATGCAACAGCTCCCCTCCCACTTCCTCCTCATAGTTACCTCTTCCCAGTGTCCATCCCTCCATACTCTCCTGCCCCCTGAACTGTCTCCCTGTGCATAAGCAGCCTTTCCTTCTCCCATGATTGGAGAACCCACTTTTCAGTGAGGAAGCCATGGTCCAGTGAGGTAGAAAGCATTCCCAGTTTCTCCCTGTACACACACACACACACACACACACATGCGCGCGCGCACGTGCGCGAGCGCGCACACACACACACACACACCCCACCCCACCCTGGATCTAGAATGGGAACAGGGGGATGGAGGGAGCTTCTTACATGTCTTAAGTCCTTGGGGTTAAGTTTCCTCTAGCCCACTCTTTCCAGAAGAAAATTCACTAAGTGGACCTATTTCCTTGGAAACTTTTGCAAGGCCCCTTTCAAGGGGCGTGGAGGGCCCCTGTTATGTGGTAACTGTAGTCCAGGAAGGTGTAAAAGAGGCAGAAAAGTGCTGGAGCTGGACCTGGAGAGGAAACTTCAGAAAGTGGCTCAGTGGCTTCAGGTGTCTGTGAAAAGCACATGACAGGCTTCCTGTGTGAATGTGACAGGACGTTTTCCTGTCCTGTTTTTCCTTCTCAGGCTGACTCCTGTACCTTTAGGGCAGTGCAGGAAAGACAGAAGCTTGGGGAGCGGCTACTTCCTATATAACCCCACCCAACTCAGGGGGCAAGGGCTGGGGCCACAGAGGGTGTGGCTAGTGTCCCCCAGAGTGGAGAGGGGTTCAAGAGGGGGAGATGGAGCACTCTGGGTTAGGCGGGAAGCAGCCTGTGCCCCCTGCAGCCTGGCTCTTGTTTATATTCTCGCACAGGAGGGCTGTGAAGCGCAACGCGAGACTGCAGTGCTGTTTCCGAAAGGGCACCTGTGAGATCACACGGAAGACCCGGCGGCAATGCCAGGCCTGCCGCCTGCGCAAGTGCCTGGAGAGCGGCATGAAGAAAGAGAGTGAGCACGGGGCGGCCAGGGAGAGTGCGGGGCTCAGAGTACGAACACTGTGAGCATGCTGCAGGTGTGCCCGAGTGACCATGCGGAACGCACCAGCGAAGAGGTGTGCAGCTGTGCGCCACGAGTGTGCACACGTGCGCTTGTGCGAACTTGAGGTCTGTGCATCAGGAGGGCACAGAGAGAAGAGTTTGCAGCTCATCTGCTTGCATCACCATGGGCAACCCTGGAGGGGCTTGCCTCTTGTCTCCTTTCCATATACCCCTGCGTGATTCTTTTTGCCCTCTTCATAATTTTATTTTGTGCTATTTTAACAAATCTAAGGGTTGGGGGAAGGAAGCACATGATGTGATATGACGCCCCCAAACTTCCAGTTGCTGGAGGCCACCAGCTACCCCAGCCCTAGAATCCTTCTAAAAACCAAAAACCAAACTCACTGCCATCGAGCCTATTGGACTCATAGTGACCTTTCCTTGGGTTTCCCAAGTGGTATCTCTATGGAAGTAGCGTGCCCAATCTTCCTTAGAAGGATTGGCTGGTGGAATCCTTAAAGGGGGACTATTTGCAAACAGGTGATAACGCCATCTTCATACTACCCTACTGAGCTTCAGTATATTTGTATTCCCAGATCACCCTGATGTTAAAGTTTGCGGGTGGAAAAGGCCAGAAGCTTCCAGGGAATATTTGCCTCTGTCAGTCACAAAGTGACCATAGGCAGGGTCCAACCTCTCTCAGGGAGAGTTCTCTGGGCATGCCGGCAGAGAGCCTTTCCTGCAGACCAGCTGAGTGAATCCCCTCACCTGGCTGTTTCTGCTGATAAAACCTGTTGCCATTGAGTCGATTCTGACTCACGGTGTCCCATGTGTGTCAGAGTAAAACTGTGCTCCGTAGGGATTTCAAGGACTGATTTTTCTGAAGAAGATTGTAGTTCTTTCCTCCGGGAAGCCTCTGGGAACTTGAGCCTCCACCTTTCAGTTGGCAGCCAAGGTGTAACTGTTTGAACCACCCAGGGACTCCTGTTCCTGCCAACAGGTCGGCCTAGATCTCACCCCTCCAAGGACCTGCACTGCTTTGCTCTATACACACAAGTGAGGTCCAGAAAGCCATGAAAGACTCTAAGGCTCTGGGCTGTGCAGGAGGTGGCCAGGGATCATATTTCTTGTTAAGCAATAGCCCAGCCCTCCTGTGATTTGGACCCAGAAGACCTTGGGGGACACTGAGGAGTCTTGTAGGTATATCAATTCTGACTCATAGCGACACCTCCTTGGGTTTCCGAGGCGGTATCACTACAGAAGTAGATTGCCTGGCTTTCCTCCTGAGGAGTGGCTGGAGGGTTTGAACCTCCAGTCTTCTGGTTAGCAGTGAAATGCCTTAGCCACCATGCCACCAGAGCTCCTATAAGTGAAGCAGAAAACAATAATATCAGGTACCATTTATTGAACATTTTTAGGCACCAGGAACTATATTAGGCCCTTTACATGCAATGTTTCACTATAACAGTAGCATGAGGTAAGCACTGTTACTCCAGATTACAGTGAAGAGGCAGGAGAGGTTAAGGAACTTGTGCAAGGTCACAGGTAGTAAGTACCAAAGCCTTCATTCAAACCCAGGGACTTCTTATGCTGCAGATTGCAGTCTTTCCACTGTTCCACAATGTTGTCTCAACCCCGTGGCTGAGGGCAGAACAAGATGCACCTCTTTTTTTCTGTCCTTACCCAGTTTGATGTCCTGCAGACCGTCTGAGTCTAGAAAAATGCAAGTTTCTTGTCAACAGCACTTTCCCTTTGGCCTAATACCTATTGCTGCCTTGGAGGGTCAAGAAAGGCTCCTGGCTCAGGGGTTGTGGACAGTGGGTGTGTGCCTGAGCCTGAGCCTGAGCCTGCCTCTCTCTTCAGTGATCATGTCTGATGTGGCTGTGGAGCAAAGGCGGGCCTTGATCAAGAGAAAGAAGAGAGAACGGGTTGGGACTCAGCCACCAAAAGCAGAGGGTCTGACTGAAGAGCAGCAGACAATGATTGAGGAGCTTATGGATGCGCAGATGAAAACCTTTGACAGCACTTTCTCCCATTTCAAGGATTTCCGGGTAGGAAGCTTTACAGCTGGCTCAGCTCCTGGGTTAGATCCTCCTTAGAACCTCAGTCTCTTTCCCAGGGATTCTCAAAGTGTGGTCCTGGGTGACAGCATCAGCATCACCTGGGAAATTTCTGGAAGTGCAAACTCTCAGGCCACTCTAGTTGTTCTGAATTAGAGACTTTGAAAAGTAAGACCAGCAATCTGTGTCTTAACAAGACCTCCAGGTGACTGATGCATGTGTTCCAGTTTGAGAACCATTACTCTCCCCCTCCACAGCAGGTGGGAACTAAGGCTGAGCTGAAAATGGAGGGAAAGCATTTGGGGCTTTGTGAGGAGAGGGTCAAGTCTTGATGAGGGTGTGCTCTTTGTGAAATGGTGTTTATCGATCTAAGAACTGTTAGTGATCGCAGCAATGTCTGCTTCCAGTGCCCCCCTCACTCCATGCTCCCAGGTATCTCAGATGGCCTATCCAGCTCAGAGAACTGGATTAGCTCAGTGACCCAGAAGTCTGCTTTTCCCATCAATAGCTCCCAGACCCTTCTCTCTAAGTCCTCCTGAGCCTAAGGTCAAGGACGCTGGGGACACAGAATGGATGGAGCCCCACCCCCACCCCCACCGCTCCTGCCATTTGGATAGGGAACAATCCCTGACCAGGCAGGGATGTGAGTGATCATTAATTCACAGGTCCAGAAAGCACCATCTGGTACAGGAAATATCACCAGGGATAGGAAACAAGTGCTCATTGTGTGCATGGATGTGTGTAAATGCACATCTGAAATTGTGCAAGTACTCAGGCTGTGGCTATAGCTGTGTATGCATTGGGATCTGTGTGGGAACCTGTTAGTGAGAATATGTACTATCTCTCCTTTCCTCTCTCCACCTCCTGACATGTGTCCCAGTTGCCAGAGGTGCTTAGTGGCTGTGGAGCTTCAGAGTCTCTGAAGGCACCAACGAGGGAAGAAGCTGCCAAGTGGAGCCAGATCAGGAAAGATCTGTGCTCAGTGACATTCTCTCTGCACCTGCGGGGTGAGGATGGCAGTGTCTGGAATTATAAACCCCCATCTGAAGGCAGCGGGAAGGAGATCTTTTCCCTGATGCCCCACATAGCTGATATGTCAACCTACATGTTCAAAGGCATCATCAACTTTGCCAAAGTCATCTCCTATTTCAGGTAGCACATGGGAACTGGGGAAAGACGCTGGGTGAATAAGTGTAGAAGGGAACAGGAAGTGGGCAAGAGGTTAAAAGGATCTGAGATAGATCTCCCTGAATCTAGGGGATATTATCCTTCGATGGTGCAAACAGTTAACAGCCTGGTTTGTAACTGCAAGGGTCAAGTCCACTTAGGGGCATCTTGAAAGAAAAGCATGGCAACTACTGAAAACAACAATAACAATAAAACAGCCACTGAAAACACAATGGAGCACAGTTCTACTCTGATACACATTGTGTTGCCATGAGTTGGAATTGATTTTACAACAATCAGTGTGTATGGTGTGTGATGCCAAAAGATCCTCTTTCATCTCTGCCACCCAAGGTGCCTGGTACAGCCAGTGCTGCTGAGTGTAGAACTGTTGTATCGCTTATTAGCTTTGTGATTGTGGGCATGCCATTTGATCTATGTATTGGTCTTCCTATCTGATAAACAGGAGCCAATTATACCTAACTTGTAGCGTTGTTGTATAAAATAAGATAGTATCTGAAAAGTATCCAGCACATGGTTGACATTCAGATAGTAATTGTCACAAGTTGACAGTTCCAGAGGATAGAATCAGTTAAAACGAAAGGGAAGTAAGCCCAGAGCAAAGAAAGGGGCAAGATGGACAGACTTTGGATCTCTAGAAGTCAGCTGCCAAGAGTAGGTGGAGAAGGCAGGCTCTGAGGAGGGTGGGGAAGTCCTGAAAGTCAAAGGGTTAGGCCTTCTCAGGGCTAGGTGTGAAGGCAACAGTCATGGGGCAACCAGAGTTAGTGGACATCTAAGAGCCTATTGGTGTGGTGAGAACAGCCACATAATCTGTTAGGGCTGGAGGTTGCTCTGGACATATCTTTCCTTAGGTTGACCACTTTATCTTGCCAAGCCTGGTTGATGGAACTGAATCATACACACGTGGAGCACTAACATCATTGCAGGCAGAGAGCAGGTTATATTCCAGAAGGCTACAGGTTTAGATTGTGTCAAATTTGTTCAAGGGTACAAGGGGAGAGGGCTCCTTACAAATGTGAGTATCAACAAATCCTTGCTGACATCATTGACCCACAGTTTCTCATGCTCACCCATTGTTGAATACAACCACCCCAGGAGGTAGGCATCACTATTGCCTTCACTGTACAGATAAGAAATTGAGGTTAAGAACACCTGTGGCTTCCAGCAAAACAAAAGACACGCATATGAGTTGAACATGTACCTGAGGTAGATACACTCCTTAGAGAGAACAATCATGGGAGAAAGTGGGGCTGTTTAGGCACAAGGAGACAGCTCAGGGGGCAGGAATGTATAGAGGGATGGACACAGAAAAAAAGAAAAAGAAAAAAGAAAAGTGAAGAAAAAAAAGAAAGAAAGAAAGAAATTGAGGTTAAGAAACTTACACAGGATGATAGTGAGTCAGTCAGTGGTGGAGACTAGATTTGAAAGTGCCAGAGTGCAGACTTCAGAGCCAGCTATATGCTCAGCCCTGAGCCAGGCACTGGAGAGACAGAGGAATAAGATAAATTTTGCGGCTTTTGCAATTCACTGTTATGGAGTCCCTGGGTGGTACAAATGGTTAACATAAAGATGGTTGGGGGTTCAAGTCCACCTTGAGGTGACTTGGAAGAAAAGCCTGGAACTCTACTTCCAAAAAATCAGCCATTGAAAACCCTATGGAGCACATTCTACTCTGACCCTTGTGGGGTCACCATGAATTAGAGTCAACTCAACAGCAACTGTTTATTATTATGATGATGATGATGGATCTAAGAGAAGGTCTGGGGTGTGGCTGAACTTGGAGGACATTATGCTGAGTGAAATAAGTTAGTCATAGCAGGACAAATATTGTATTAGTTCATTGTTGTAAAAAGTCAAGGAAAGGTTTATATATGGAAGGAAACTTTCTTTGTTGGTTACCAGGGGTGGGAGAGCAAGGGAGGAAACACTGCAAAAATAAAAATTTAAAAATAAATAAAAGAAGGTCTGGGGTTGGGGGTGCCGGGAGCACAAGGGCCTAAATTCCTGAAGAGATCAAAGCCTGGGAGAAGGCTTCCTCAGGAGCCAGCCATGAGAGTCCCTCCCAGTCTCTTAGTGCCTGCTCCTTGATAGTAATGCCTTTTTCAGTTGGGTAGCTAGGGTCCTCTCTCAGCCTAGCAAGGGAGAAGTTCCTGCAGAATGGGAGGGGTTTCAGTTTAACCAGGATTATCGGATGTTTATTGAGCAGTCCCTGGGTGAGGGCTGTGCTCCATGTTGAGTGGGGCTCAAAGCATCCAGACTGCTGGTAGGGAGACAGTAAAAATACATATGAATTAAATCAAACCCCCACCACTCATCTGTCAATTTGTCATACTGTGATGGTAGTATGTTGCTATGATACTGGAAGCTATGCCACCAATATTTGAAATAGCAACAGGGTCACCTATGGTAGGAGCTCTGGTGGCATAGTGCCTAAGGCATTTGACTGCTAACCAGAAGGCTGGCAGTTCAAACCCACCAGCCACTCCTCGGAAGGAAGATTGGGCAATCTACTGCCATAGAGATACTGCCTCGGAAACTCAAGGAGGGGTACTATGAGTCAGACTTGACTCGAAGGCAGTGAGTTTGAGTGAGTCATCTATGGTAGAAAGGTTTCAGGGTAGCTTCCAGACTGAGATAGACTAGGAAGAAAGGTCTAGTGGTGATCTACTTCTGAAAATTACTCAACAAAAACACTATAGACCACAACAAATTATTGTCCAATATGGTGCTGGAAGATGAGGCTCTAGTTTGGAAGGCATTACACAATAGCTGCAACAATGGACTCAAACATGTCAATGAAGGTGAACATGGTACAGGGTGGGCAGCATTTCCTTTTGTTGTGCATGAAGTTGACATGAGTTGGAGCCAACTCAATGGCAAATAACAATAGCCACAAATCCAGCTCAGAGAGCAGGACAAGAAAACACTCACCACCCCCCTCCCTGCCTGTTGCATGAGACTAATGGCAAAGGAGTGGCATCTGCAGGAGGACTGTGCACCTTGGAAAGAGTTCTGGGAGGAGCGAAGACACAGTCATTCCAAGTGGGAAACTGAGGCAGAAAAAATGAGGCCAGATCCAGCAACGAGGAACCAAGTCATCAGGGGTAGGATAGTAGTTGTGTAGAGGATTGGAAGAGATGGGGCCAGGCTGCATGGGACCTAAACACCAAACTCAGTGGCCATCGGGAGTCACTGAAGGCAGCAGGCGAGCAGAGGAATGCGGCAGGGCAGAGTGACCTGGTGGGCTGGATTGTGAGGGGGAGAGATTGGGGAGAATTAAAAACAATGGCAATAATCTCCAATAATAATCTGTCCCCAGCTCCCTATAATCTCTCGATTAGGGGAGTGGTTGCTGGGCAACTTCCCAAGGAACTGTCACCCCCTCCCTATCTTGCTTCCAGAGACTTGCCCATTGAGGATCAGATCTCCCTGCTGAAGGGGGGCACCTTTGAACTGTGCCAGCTGAGATTCAACACAGTGTTCAACGCAGAGACTGGGACCTGGGAGTGTGGTCGACTGTCTTACTGCTTGGAAGACCCTGCAGGTGCCTGAGAGCCTCTGGCATGCCCTGGGAGAGGGGGAAAACACAACAGTTGTGGGAGGAAGGAGCTATGCCAAGACATGGCAGAATTTTCCCACTCAAGACTCTGTGTTTCAGACAGAATCCTAGTGGGTAGAGTGGGAGTGGGGATGATGCGGCCCACACTTCAAACACCCTGGTCTTAGACAGGAAGATTGGGTGATGGAATAAAAGGATTGGTGAGTGTGCAGAGGAGGCATGGCTGGATCCTGGGTCAGCTTCCAGAGAAGCTGCCCTTCCATCCCATACCCACCTACAGGTGGCTTGCAGCAGCTTCTCCTGGAGCCTGTGCTGAAATTCCACTACATGCTGAAGAAGTTGCAGCTGCACAAGGAGGAGTATGTGCTGATGCAGGCTATTTCCCTCTTCTCCCCAGGTGAGGCCCCTGTCGTACCCCCATGTGTTCACACCCCCTTGGTTTTTTCGGCAGGAACACTCTCCCTCTGCCCTCCTCAAGGAATGTCCCAAGGACTCCCTTACTCCCCTCATTACAGTCAGGATGGGGCTTCTGCTCATTTCTCCTTGGTCAGTGGGGTGACACAGGGCTCACTCACCCAGCCTCCCTGGGTGTCTCCAGCTCTGGGAGCTGGTTGGCTGACAAATTCTCCTTTCTGGGCTAGGCTGAGCCAATTTTGGGTCCCAGCCCTGCTGATGGGTGCCCCACTGCCCCTTCCCTTCCTCTCCCCACAGACCGCCCAGGTGTGGTACAGCGCAGTGTGGTGGATCAGCTACAGGAGCGCTTTGCCATCACCCTGAAGGCCTACATCGAGTGCAAGCGGCCCCAACCTGCCCACCGGTGAGCAGCAGTGGGGAGGGAGGACATGCGAAGGTAGAGAATGTTTCCCCCCTGCCTGCCGGCCTTTGGCCTTTCCCTCAGGCCTCTATCCACCCTTGGCCTCTCTGGGAGAGCAAACTGGAACTATTTCCAGGCAGCTTCTGATGACCTTGACTTTGGGGCCATGTTCTGCGACCTCTACTGAAGCCTCTTGTCCAGTCAACCTGAGTCCAGCCCAACAGGGGGGAAACCGAGGAGGGCCACAGGCCACAACTAGCTGAGGGGACATTTACTTCCCAAGGCCAGCTCATGTCTGCTTGGGCCCTCCACACTACTGTTGTCAAGGGGTGGGAACAGCCAATATTCTCCTGAGGATCCCACAGGGATTTCTAGGAAGAGTCAATAATAAAGATAATGATGAGAATAACAATGATAAACATAATTAGGTGCCATTGAGTCAAATTATATAATTAAAAACACAAACCCACCGCCATCTAATCAATTCTGACTCATAGCAACCTCACAGGACAGAGTAGAATCTCCCATAGGTTTTCCAAAGCTGCAAATCTTTATGGATGCAGACTGCCTCATCTTTCTCCTGTGGAGTGGCTGGTAGGTTTGAACTGCCAACCTTTTGGTTAGCAGCCAAAAGCTTTAACCAACATATCATGAGAGGTCCTGAAATTGAAGACAGGGCAATCTACTTATGTAAAGATATACCGCCTCAGAAACCTAAAGGAGGTCACTAGAAGTCAGAATTGACTCGATGGCAGTGAATTTGGTCTTTTTTTTTTTTTCAGTTTAACCTTTACTGAGAAGTGCCAGCCTCTGTACTAAGCAGTTTATGGATATTATCACCTTTAATCCTCAGAACAGCCCATAAGGTGGAGATTGCCACTATCCTTGTTCTGGAAGGGAACTGAGGCTCAGGAAAATTGCCCAGGGGTCCATAGCCAGAGGGGTAGAATGTGGAGGTGGACTTAGGCCAATAAAGCCCAAAGCCTGTGTTTTTGAGCACTACTGCCCAGGTAAAACCTGGGGTGCAGATTCTGCCACCTCCCCAGAAAAACACAAGTGAACAGGGTGTAGAACATGACTTAGTATGTTCTGATCATGACCCAAAGGAGGGTATGTTTGGGTCTTTGCCCAGACAGGGCCTTCCTCACCATTACTGACCATCAGTAGTCACTGTGGCCTAGTGTCCACAGACCCAGGGATGAACTCAGCTTACACTGAGCCCAAGCCCATGAGGGGCAGGGGTTCAGGCAAGCACTGGGTATTATAGTGTGAATTCAAGACTCAGGTTCCTGCTTGGCCTGCACGAGTTTTCTCTTTGGCTCACCTCCTGGGGATGCTGAGGGTGGCTGCTTCTTTATTTGATCAGTCCACCCATGAAAGGAGCCAGGGGGCTGGAGGTGTCAGCTTTCTTTTCTATAACAGGGAAACTGAGTCATGAGGCTTGTCTTAGACACATCAGATCTAAAGCTAAACCCAAGAAGGAGTTATAGTCTGTATTCTACCTGCACAACTATTCCTTTCAATCCTAGCCTCTTGGCCATCAATGATTTTTTTTTCTTTTTTTTCAAAATCAACCTACGCATTTGGTGCCTGCAATGGCAGAATTTTTCCATAGAGGTCTCAGAAGACACAAGCCCAATGGATGGGATGGGGGTGTGGATGGTGCAAATCCACACCACAAATACCAGCCCAGCTGTTCTGGCTTTCTTGTCCACAGGCTGAAGAAGCTTAAGGAGTTCAGCCAAGCCTTGAGTCTTGGCTGGCATGAGGTGCCCTAAGATTAAAAACACCACACTTGTGCAGCTTCAGCGCTTTCCCAGGGCTGGTGGGTCAGGGAGAGGGTAGGCAGTACCCCTAAACTTCCCTCTGGCTGGTCTGCAGGTTCCTGTTCCTGAAGATCATGGCCATGCTCACCGAGCTTCGGAGCATCAACGCACAGCACACCCAGCAGCTGCTGCGCATCCAGGACATACACCCCTTTGCCACCCCACTCATGCAGGAGTTGTTCGGCATCACAGATGGCTGAGAAGCTGCCCCTTGAGTGGAGCCTCTGCAGGGCAGCCAGACCCAGAGCCCTCTGAGCTGCTGCTCCTAGGGCCAGCCTGATGGACTAGCTGATAGCCAACAGTGCACCACTGATCCTGCCTCTAAAGAACTTGACATCAGCTATAACTACAGCTGGCTGCTTTCCACAGGAAGGGGAAATACGTCTTTCCATGTCCAACCCTCTAACCCCTAGCTCAGTCTGTGGAAAGGGACACTGTAGACCTGGAGTGCCTGGCCTATAGGTTAGGCCCATCCAAGAGGGCCTTGTGGTCTAGGCAATGCTGTGGTGGTGGAGGGTCAGGGCAGATGGGGCCCGGGCTACTGGAGGGACTATGCCCAAACCCAAGTTCATTAGCTTCTTAAGTCTGTTCACTGTCACCTCTAGTAACCCCATTTTCCACACCCTACTCATTTCCAACCCCCAGCCTCCTGTCCCAAGCTGCTCAGTGTGTTTGCAAGCCTCTAGATCATTCCTACAGAAACGAATGCACCTGCTGATGAACACAGGCTTGTATCTACGGGAATGTTCTAGAGAGAAGTCAGGATGCCTGCAAAAAATGTCAGCAGCTTGTCAGGATCACTCTACATGTCCACTTGCCCTTCATTCTGGTAACCTTGTCCTGTGTCTCTGCATCCATTTAAACACGGTATTAAGCACTTACATTAGACAACCTGTTGTGTGGGGGACACAAGGGTGACTTAGACATGGATCCTGAGCTCAGAGGGTTTAGAGTTAAGTAATAAAAAAACAAGGCAGAAATACACATAATTTCAATCAAAAGGACAAGCACCAACTGACATGCGAAGCTGAAAGAATCCACAGACATGGATGCTGAGCTGTGCTGGGGTTGTGTGTGTACCCAGGGGCCAAGTGAAATTCCCTGGGACATATGATGTGGGAGGAAGGTCCCTGACTGTGGCTGTCTATACATGCATGTGCCTTTGTGTAGGTCTGCTCTACATCTGAACTGGGGCTTGGGTTTGTTCCTGAGGCTGGAATACTGTGGGTACTCTCTGTGACAAGGCCATGGCCACAGTTAATAAACAATGCCAGAGCAGAACCATTTGCATGCACTTTATGTTCCTGTTTACATATCTGTTCTCGAAGCTAAGGAGAATGAAAATGTCTGCCTTGTTTCCAGCCATTTGTGGGTGAAGATGTCTTTGGGTTTTCAAAAATTGCATTTTAATTTTACATAGGCATCCCATACCTAAAAACTAGGCTTATCAAATATGTTCCTAGGTTTAATGTCAAATTGAGTCAAGAGAACATGATTGACCTTTGGCTGGAGACATCAACTTTTTTGCCTTTGTTCTGGGAAAGAAATAAGGGGCAAGGAAATAATATATCTATTACGAGCAAACCAAATCGAATAATGCATTTTTCATGTTCTTACACCAGCAGAGTCTCCAGATGTATAAACCAAAAAAGAAAAAAAACCTTTTTTTTTTTTTTTGGTTTATATGTCTGAAGACTGCTGGTGTAAGAACATGAAAAATGCATTATTTAACTTGGCTTGCTCATAAAATAATTGTTCTATAAAAAACAATTTAAAATATATATGCACCATAATTAAAAGTGTAGAAGTTGAATTTCAATACGTTAACATTTTGTTGCAAATGAAGCTTCAAAGTCACTGACTTTGAAGGAACAGGAATCACTGAGCTTTGCCAGTTTATAAGAGGCCAAACTTTGAGAACATATGAAATCACTGATGCTACAAATCAAAGCAAATACATATGTTCACTGCCATCCCCCAGATTGACCAGCTTCCTTTTCATCAAGGAGATATAAGAAGTATTTGTTTTTAGAAAAGAAACTGAAGAGAAAAAAAGAGCTCCTCTCCCTGATGAATACAGCTTCTCTCCAGGGGTTTTGTCTAATTATACTCATTTGGATATACAAATTTCATTCAACTGTATTCATAAGTCATATGCATCTCCCTCCCTTCCTTACTGAAATAATTTGCAGTTTCCAGAGCCTGGGAGTGGCGCTAAGTGTCAGCTAGAGTAGGTGGAATCCTGGGTGATGCAAATGGTTCATGTGCTTGGGGTTGGAAGTTTGTCACCCAGAGGCCCAGTGATCTACTTTAGAAAAATCAACTATTGAAAACCCTTTGGAACACAGTTCTACCCTGAAACACATGGGGTCTCCATGAATTGGAACTGATTGGACAGCAGCCGGTTATCATCATCAGAATAGGTGAGGTTAAGGTGCAATTAAGATGGGCTACAGGATAAACTTCCATCTCCCAGCACTGATTTAAAAAACAGGGCAGTTCCCAAAATCAGTGAACAGATAAATAGATGCGATTTTAAGAAGTTAGTGTAGTCCAAGTGTAGGTAAGATTCAAAGCTAGATGCATTAAAGAGCTCACACTTCCCATAGCTATGTGGGTCCCACATTCCTAAGAAGAGGAGAATCCAGATACAACTTTCTAACTGATAAAGATTTGAATTTATTACTCCCTTCCCTGAATTTTTGAGCAAGTACAACTAAGCATCAGTTCCTAGGTACCCTTGTGGCCACTGTCCTCTTTTTGTAGGTCCATGTGGCTCAATCAGGAGAGTCTGGAGTCAGTCTCCAAACAGCAGGGGAATACCTTTTAAATAAGCTACTGCTTACCTTCTGGTCTGCACACTGGTTAGAGCCATTCCACCGCCTCTCTACCCTCACTCAGACCTTAAGGATCTAATTAAAACCTTGACATCAGGAGGCAGCCTTCTTGTGGGGAGGCCCACAGTGGTTCTTTCTGGGGGAAAAGAGGATGTAAAGAGAAACATACATTTGACTAATCATCCCTTCCTAGCCCTTAACAACTTGTGGTTCTCATCATGCCATTGTCTATAGCAGCTTTTTCCCTGGTTGCTTTCTTTCCTCTTACGTACCCACAGATCTCCTAAATATGATATAGTACTGGTGGGTGGGTGCTCATCCCATCACTTTTCTTCTCTTCCTTTCACAACTTCTCAATGAGGAAGATCTGCAGCCTGGTCTCTCCTTTCCTCACTACCATTCTAGAACACCTTCTGGCATCCATTATCACTGTTGTCCTCAAACTTGATGCCAAAGGATTGTTTGGTCAGTACTTTCTTGAAGGCCTTAGCTAAAAAAATGTAGTCTTTCAGGATGCTAAGTTGAAAAGCTATCTTGCAGGACAGTTACCACACCATTTAACAAATAGCTAAGGCAGTGAAAAAGCAAGGTATCACTGAAACTCAAACAAATACACTTGAATGGCATGTGCAAGCCTGTCTCACCTCTAAGTATGCACTGACCAGTCCCCTCCAATCAACATACACACACTGGTAAATATGTTTAACCCCTTTGTCAATACAAAGACAGACCAGACTTTATCCAATATAAATTTTTTTTTTTTTATTGAAGCAGCAGTCACATGACCTTATATCTAGCCTTTAGATTAGGCCTGACAGAGTGAGCCAGCCCTAAAAAAAAAAAAAAAAAAAAAAGTTTCTTTTTGCACTAAGAGACATACATGTTTACATACATCATCCATTATTGGAAATGACCAGACTCAAACATAACACGTGGTGGTTAACTGGGAGTTACAGCCTCAGTATTTGTGGTGGTCATATACCCCCAAAGATCATTATTAATGGGATGAAAAGTTAAAAGAAAATACAGCTACACCAAACCATGAACACAGTAATCAAAAACAGCAGCTTACAGACGTTTTTAAAATTTGCCCCTTTCAGGGATGTTTTCTTTTCAAAGCAGTGTCTCCAAGGCTTCCACTACACCAAATCCAAAGGTTTCCAAGATGGAAGCTGCACCTTTTAGGGCTATACAATGCATTAGATCATCTCCAAGAACGAGTGTTCATATCCAGACTGTTTATAACAAAGATTCACATTTCTCTAACTAGAGAAATGGAGATGGTGATGTGACTACATATTGCAGTGGCAAAACAGGTGAAGAAGGTTGGGCACTGAAATAAAGACCACACACTTGTGAATTTTAATTTCATTTCCAGGCTAGCCTACTTTTTATTTAATGCAAATTACAGTACCAGTTAACTATTTCCAAACCAAGTCACATAGAACGAAATGTATTTACAAGGGAATGGGGAAAGGGGGAGGGAAAAAAAAAACATTGACCATACTTTTCACAAAAAAAGTTTATATTTAAAATGAAAATAAAATCAGTCACAGAGGCATTCAAGTAGTAATAATGTTATACAGATTTTGCTTTTCCTTTATATCAAGACAGATTTGCACAAGTGTTTGCAATAGTTTGTATACAACCCACAGTCCTTTATATATATATATATATTTATATATATTTATATTTTGTTTAGATTTGTTTTTAAGATGGAAGTGGTCACGCTAATTGGTATGTGTACAGGCCCAAGTGATCCATCGGCAACACATTTATAAATGCAAATTTTACAGGCAAGCACATTTTCATACATCTATCTGTATCTGCCTGTAGACAGATATAGTAAGAAAAAGAAAACTTAAAAAATTAAACACAAGGAAGTCTACTTTGTCAAGCTAACCCCTTATGTACTGGTTGTCATTTTGCTTTTATTGCAGAGGTGCAAAAACGGAGCAACAAACTTGAATAAACTGGGCATAACCTTTGTGAAAATAATCCAAACTCCAGGGATTACTTTCGAAGCCTCTCAAAGGTAGACCTTAGTCTGGGACTCTACTGTGCTTCTAGTTGTCTCTTATTTTCAGTGGCTCAGGTTTCTGCTAGAAAAGACAGGTTTTATTGTATGCTTAGTTTCCTTTTCCATATAGGGAATAAAGGTGTTTGGCTCTGTGATTAGAGGATCACAAACATGAATAAGGTCAGATGTAATTTTGGTTTAAAATATATGCCCCCCCAACTCCTGGGGATCTGGCATTGTTCAAACTTTCTTTGGAAGATTCCAAAGTTAAATCCTTTAAAAGGAAAATGGAAGATAAATGAGACCCCAGTGTCTTTATATCCACAGGGATAGAGAAGATATA